GTAAGATTAAGAGAAGCAGTTTTTCATTAACAAGGATAATAATTCTTAGCTTATGGATTGTTTCTTTGTGGGTCAGGACTTAATTACAGTGGTGCCTCGATTTACAAACTTAATTTTTTTCTTACAGATTTGGGGAAGATGGCTGTGTTTGTGTTTGTGTGGGGAAAATGGTCATGGTCATGTCTGTCACCCAGTGCAGCATTTGACAATGAAAACAAAATTTTGCTGAATCCATTTGTTTGCAAACCGAATTGTTTGCAAACAGAAGTGTGCATGAATCAAAGTATTACTGTATTTTAGTATGGAGCCTGCTACATATTTAGCAATGATCATTTTTATTATGTATCTGAGAGGCAAATGTGGCAGCTAGAAAAATGGCTCCTAAATATGTCCACATCTCTGGAATCTATAAATATGTTAAGTTACAGGCAAAGAGATCCGATATTAAGATAGTATGAATATCCTGGGTCATCCAGATATATCCAGTGTGGTGGTTGATTCTATTTGCCAACTTGGCTGGGCCACTACCTGGACATTTGGTTAAACATTTCTCTGGTTGTTCCTATGGTGAGACTCACCTTTAAAATGGTGAACTTTGAATAAAGCAGATTGCCCTCCATAATCTGTGTGGTTCTCATTCAAAAACTAGAAGGTCTGAAGAGAATAAAAGGATCCCTCTAGCAAAAGGGAATTTTCCATCAAACTACCTTCACGCTCTATCTGTACTATTGGCTGTTCTTGGATTTTTCCAGTAATTAGCCTGTGGGTTGAATCACATCTCTTTTCTTATTCTCCAGCCTGCTGCTCTACCCCATGATATCTTGGTCTCATCAAGCATCCATGACCACATAAGCCAATTCCTTAATTAATACAGTTAATTAAAGCCATTATAAAGGAGACAATTACTTTGTGCAGGGATAAAAATAAAAATCTTTCAAAGCATACCAGAAATCAGCAAAGCCCCAACTGTCATAGGCTTAAAGATGCAACACTGTATACTTTTCTTTTGAGAATAGTGTGATGCCTGCTCAGGAAAGCCATCCTAAGGAATCACTTCACTTGGATTTATTTCACTATACGCAGCCATCTTGGCACTCAGAGGCCTCTGCAGCCATGGTCCAAGGGGGCCCCAGCTATTATCTTGGCACTCAGAGGCCTCTGCAGCCATGGTCCAAGGGGGCCCCAGCTATTGCTCAACCTGGTAGCCAACCTGGGAGCCATCCATATGATACTGGTTTTACCAGTATACAGAATGCAAAAGAGCTGTGATGTCAGTGGGCCTTCCAATCAAATTTCAAAGGACATCCTGGGAAAACAAGCAAGGGGCCCCAGAGAAGGAGATGTGTGAAGCTGTGGGGATGAATCTGAAAGTGAAATGGGTACATTATAAGCATGAAAATCTGCTAGAGATGTGGTATGCAGTAAGCAAAGCCAGTCTAAGAGAGAGGCCATATGGTGCTGCAACCAGCAGGGCCCATAGAGGCAGAGCTACCCAAGCCCTTTGGAGTTCTCATCTAGCTATCTGTCCTAGAGGTGCTAGACATGGAGGTACAAGACTTAACGTTTAGCATGATTGGTTTTGGTTTTATTTTGGACTGATTGTATCCCTCTATTCATCCCTTTTGGAATGATAATTTTTTACCCTGTGTGTGTTTTTGTGGATCTCACAGCTAAGAGTTCATAGAAGGGTTTGGATCTGAACTTTTCAGCCCTGCTGAAACTCTTAAGACAGATGACTCTTAGAGATGGAATAAACGCATTTTACATCATGAAGTGGACATGAGTCATTTGGTCATTGGAATGAGATGTTATGATTTACATACAGAATGCCCTCCCTGCAAGTCTCATGTGTCCAGAGGTGAGGTTTTTTGAAGGTGATTGGATCATAAGGGATGCTATATTCATCAGTGTATTCACCCATTCATGGGTTTATGGATAAATTTGCTATTAGGAGGTAGGATGTTGCAAGAGGTGTGTCAGTGTGATTGTGCCTTTGGTGAGTAAACCTCCCTCGGCAGCTTCTCCCCTCTCTTTCTGCTCCTGGCTGCCAAGAGATGAGCAGTTGTCTTCTGCCATGCTCTTCCACCAGTCCTTTTTTTTAACCATCGAACCAGGAAATCAGGGACTGAAACCCCCCAAAATTTGAGCCTAGTTATACTTTACTCTTCTAAATTGTGGTTGTCAGGTATTTTATCTCAGTGATGAGAAAGCTGCCTAATACACCCACCCTCTATTTGCTAATAGACCTATAACTAAATTCTGTCACCTAAGATGAGCTACAAGATAGGACTCATGAGAGGGAAAACTAACTACACTACAAAAGAACCCTATGTGAGTTTTCCAACTTACTAATAATCAGGGAATATATTTGGTGATGCATTTTAAGGTAAGGATTAGTAGTGGAAGTAACATGGACTTGGATTAGCCCAAAATTGTTGAAATGGGCTCATTAAGTGAAGATTCGGCTTTAATATGCACTTGGCAGTTATAAGAATCTAACAGATTTTTTATTTTTGGCTTAAAGATGGACCAAAATGTGGCCTATCGTATGTGAGCCAGAAATGCCAGATCTGCTTTCACTTCTTGGAAAGGGATTTAGTATGAGGGATTTGAATGTTAGAATCAATTTGTAAGACTTACTTATCCTAGAATTGTCCAGAAAACATCTTTACATGTCCTTTTCAAAATCCCTATGTTAGGGTCTTAATCCCTAGTACTTCAGAATATGATCTATCCTGGACACAGTGTCTTTACAGAGGTAATCAAGTTAAAATGAGATCGTGAGGATGGGCTGTAGTCCAATAAGAGTTCTCTTTTCATAAAAGGGGTAATTGAACACAGAGACACACATACAGGGAACGTGAGTTATGGAGACAGTAGGAGCAGATGGCCATCTACAAACCAAGAAGAGAGACCTAGAACAGCCACCCTTCACATTCCTCGAAAGGAAACAGCTCTGTTGACATCGTGACTTTGTACTTCCAGCCTCTAGCACGATGATACAATAAAATTAAGAAACTCACTGTGGGGAAAAATGTTACAGTAACTCTGATAAGTAATATACTAAGCATCTGATAAATTCTATTTTATCTCCATTTTTTCACTTCTGTCTTTGTGAAGAGCATAATGAGAACACCCTACAATTAATCAAGGTCTTTTGGATGTGCTAGAAGAGAAAGTAACATCATGAAAATTATGCTCAGAAACTCGATTTATGTGCTCAGTCACGCTCTTTAGGAGTCAGCAAACACAGGTTGCTGCTGGCTTATTGATATCCGGTTGTCAGCTTATTTGTTGTCTCTTTTCTTTACTTTGCCATTTGCTGTCCTTCTTCCTTGGATAATAATTTTGCCCCATTTAAGCCAATTGTCTTTTTCTGATCACAAATATAAGAACAGGTTCGGTTAATGCCCTTGTCCACTTGTTCCTTTGGATAAAATTAATTATAATAAACATTTCCATTTATTTGGGAATATGTATATAATCGTGCGGGCTTTCCTTCAAATTTTTCTCATTCTTCATGATTCTTTAGCTTTGAGAATGTGATAAAAACACATACTGTGAACTTGTACTTCCAGTAAAATATTTTTAATTTCCTTCATTGAACCTTCCTTCTTCACTTGTTAAGGGTTGGGAAGCATATAAATCTGTTGTTAAATGGGATTATATGATTTCTCCTATCAGCTTCCATCTAGGAGCTTTTCACCTCAACTATTTTCTTATATCCCTCCCAAATTTATCTGCCCAAGAGTTTTGCTGGCACAGTTTTCTTTTCTATCCACTCTGATTGTAAAAACAAAATGGCTACATCTTGATGTCATTGAAAGTGAGGACATGGAGCATCATTCAAAGCCAGGCATGCCAGGCACAGTAATCCCAGCACTGATGAGGGCAGAGGCAGAGGATCACAACCTCCAGTCCCACTTGGACAACTTAGTGACACCCTGCTTCAAAATGAATTCAAAATTTTCAAAAGGGTAGGGATGTAGCTCAGTGACAAAGCAACCTGGTACAATCCCCAGCACAGAAAACAAAAAGCCAAACAGTAGGGTTCATTACCCCACAGATTGGAATTACATCTTATAAAATATATTTTAAGATAAAATATTTCTAAGAACATTCATCCCCCAGAAATATTGACATATTACCACCTAACTAGAATGTTCCATTGAAATATAGAGGATATCCCAAAATCACAGTGAAGCTATAAACCTTAAATAGACCCAGAAGTATAAATGCTATAAACCTAGAAAAATATCACTCGAAAGCAATGTTCATATTGATTTCGAACTTATTTTTTCAGTTTAAGCGAGAAATGAGATCTTTGTTTCAGTCATTCTTCAAAATTTAAAAAACCAAATAAAAATGTTTTAATTATTTGAGATGTGCGATCTAACCAAGTGCAAAAGATACAAAAATAAGCTTTAAAATGAGCTTTCTCTTGAGCTTTATAGTATATTTCTCGAGTTACTAAAGCCTTAAAACTTCCCTCAGACTTTTAGGACATGATGTTATTAATTCACCTTTTTTACCAAAGAAGTTATTTTATGCATTATGATCATATAATTTTTGTTTTTATGACAGAAAAAGTTTTGTTTCGTTTTGTTTCATTTTTTTATTTTGAATGTAGCACATCTCAGCAGATAGATTTTGTAGTTGCCAATTAAAAGATATTATTCAGCAACTGCCCTGCATAATAAATTAACTCTATCTCTCTCTAACACACATGAAAGGATAATTCTATTGAAATTCCTCTAATGTTCTCATCACCAAACTGTAACCCTGGGACTTCGTTGTATTTGTTTATACTTTATGTGTTATCATTCCTGAGGGCCCACCTTAAAATCTAGGTAAAGAAAGAAAATATGTGTCTTCCATAATGAATATAGCAAAACAGAGATCAAAAGCACAATTTTACTTCTCAATCTGTGTAATCTACTTGGTTTATGATTAAAGAATGATTTTAATTGCTAAACTTTTAAATTTTATTAAATGTTTGTGGTAATGCACTGAATGAATTCCAGACCTACATAAATACACAAGCAGCTGTCTGTAATTTGCATTTTTATCAGTTTTGAAAGAGCACAATATACCTCCTGCATCTTATTTTCAGAATTTGCATTTTATCATCTTTGACTGTCCAATACAGTATGGAGCACTTGAATATCTCACTCTTTGAATTTTCATTTTTGATTGTAAATCAGATGATGGCTGGCACTTAAGTTCTTTTCTCATTTTTCTCTTCTTTCAACCTCCAAGTTTACTTGCTCCCATTTCTTCTTGGCTCTAATAATAAAATGCAAACAAATATTTTATTTTCCTTTACAGGCTTTTTGGGGCCAACAATAATTTATAGTTATTTTGCTAATTACTTATCATAAAGCTAAGATAAAGCAAAGGCTATGTTTATTGGTTTTATTCTTAAAATTTCAAATTGCCTTTCAAAATTCATCTACTTCTTACTGCATTTCAATGGACAGGTAGAAAGGAATGGAAATAATTCTATGTATGAGTCTGCACTAAGGGAGAGCCATCATGAGGAGATAGGCACCTCTCTCCCCAGCCCTCCTCCCCCTCCTCCTATCCTCTCCTCCCTCTCCCTCTTCCTCTTCCTCTCCCTCTCTCCTCTCTCCTAGGTCCTCTCTCCCCTCTCTTCCTCTCCCCTCCCTTCTCTTCTTACTCTGTAGCCTCAAGAAGACACGGCAATGAGAATAACTCAAGTCGTCTCTAGCTTCTGTGCCTGGTTCCCACAGAACCTGAACACTTTTCCCTCCTTCTGCTTTATCCTCATAACATCCGAAAACATTGTCCCAAAAGGATTTTCTTGCCCGCTTATACATCCGTGGCCTTGGCCACCAGAGCTTTAGAACAGACTAGTAGAAGCTTGCCTTTTCTGTCTCTTTTTTCTAGCATTCCATCTGTCCATTGGCAAATGTTAGCGTTGCTATTCTGTGCCCTAGCAAACTGGAAGGGATGAGGTGGAGAGCTACTTGTTTCAAAAACAAATAAATATTATGAAATACTATATAGTAATTTAATAAAAATTTTATGGCATGTATTTAATTTCTTGAATATAAATCCACATTTTTCCTGATATAGAAAATGTTTCTAGTCCTTTGTACATAAATTCATTCCAATCCAGTGATTTCTTAGCCACTTCATTTTCACATCTGAGTCACAGCTAAAGTTTTCTGAGTATTCTCCCTACTGGGCTTGGTACAAGGGGAAACGGTTGCCGCTGTGTGACAGATAGGAAAAGAATATGATTCCAACAGATTTCGCACATCAGGGTTTTGAATGGTAGCCTACACAACTTAGCACAGAGTTCCTCAAGCTTTACTCTACACCCTAATCACCTGGGGATGCTGACAGGAAGGTTTCTCATATAGCTGGCCTGACAGAGATTTTACAGTTCTAACAAGTGCTAGGTGACATCTGCACAGCTAGTACTTAAACTATTAATAAAGGTGTGATCAGTGGATTCTGGCTTTGTTGCTGCCTGTTTCTCTGGCAGATGTGATCTGTTGAGATTATTGCTAAGAAACACACACACACACACACACACACACACACACTCCAATAGAGTTTAAAAACAAGAACTCCCTGATGCGTATCTCTTCCGTCATCACTGGCCCTCTCTCCCAGGAGCTCCCTCCTGCTTGAGATTGACAAGAATGCATGATGTCTCACACTATGCAACCTTGGCCCATGCAAATCTCAAGAAGCTGTCTTTGGCCCTCATATATTAGATGTGCCTTCCTCTGGCCCAGACATCACTGAGAAATTCTCTCCAAAACTTTTCTCTCTAGATGGCATTGGGAAATGTAATATAACCCCACATGGATGCAGAGGTCCTATGGGACACATAAGTAGCATATATTTCACATGCTGAAGTGATGCTTCTTTCCTTCCCCAAATGCTTCTGTGATTCAGTTTTAATTACCTGGGATGGAAGGTGAGTAGGCTACTCAGACAGAAGAGCACCCACGAGACAAGAAGAAAAGAGGAGCATATCCTTCAATACTCCCAAGTGTCCACGTTCTCATAAGGAAACCATAGGATAAAAAGGCTGCAGCTCAAAAATTTCTAGTTTCATCTAGGATTTTCAACAACTTTTCACCTTTTTCTCTCACCCTAAATTAAGTGCAGGCACGTGGAAAAAGCCATACATAGTTTGAAAATATAGTCAGTTGAATAACAGAGTTCTCTTGAAGTAGGTGACCTAATTGACTTGGGACCCACCTGAGGAATTAGTGAAGTGCACTTCTGAGGGTATGTGGGTGAGTCACGAGGCCTGATCTGGGGTAGCATACACGATCCCCGACGCTTTTCCCTGCTCTGCTTCCCAGGCACCATGAACTAATTAGCACTGTTCCACTACACCCTACCACTATATTATTCCTGCCTTGGAGCCAATCAAACATGAATGGAATCCTCTGAAGACATGAGCCAAAAAATACCCTCTCCTCCTTTAAGGTGTGGGTGTCAGGTACTTTGTCCAGCAATGGCAAATTGAATAATGCACAGTAAAATATGGTTCCCGAAGTGATGAGGAAAAAAGAAAACCAGGTACGTCCAAGCATATTAATATGTACATAGGTCTGGGGACTGACTCACAGCTGCAGTCAAAAAAAGATCTTAAGAAGCTCCTGGCTAGCTATTTATTTTGGAAAAGGGAAATCAGAGTCTGGACGACTGGTGTTGCTGTGTTCTGGTTCCTTCTGGGAAGTTCTGGTATGAGAGCTCGTAGATTTCAGACAATTTTGAAGGTTCTAGGATACTTAGCTAGATAAGTATGCTACACTTGTGGAACTTTTTTCCAAGAGCATCATTTGTGCGAGAAATAATTGAAATCATTTTATCTTGTGTGATTTTTCCTGAGCCAGCCCAAAACAGGGTGGGAGAAGACATCAAAGCTGTTTCAGCAAAAGAACAAGCTGAAATCAAGACCACCAGAAACCTCTACTCTGAAAAGGTTGCAGGATTTTATCCCCTCCCAAGGCACAAAATACAAAGATGGGGAGCACATAGTCATGTGGCAGTCCCTGCCCAGGAAAATTCATCTTGGATGCCCTGTCAGCATGTACCAAACCATGATTGTCTAACAGATATTGTAAGATTTTAATATTTTATTCATGCCAAATAGTTTTATACATTTACCTTGTAGTATAGCAAAAATCCCATGGTAACATATTTAGTTGATGCAATTATTATGCCTATTATTAACAAGGAAAGAATTGTATCAGCAGGTTTTCTGGTACTCCATAAACATAGGGAGATTAAAAAAAATAAAGTAAATTTGCTAGTAGACAAACTGCTAAACTCCAAATGATTAAATATATATTTTTATGTTTTCTAAAATATTTTCCATGAACTTAAAAAAGTACTCTATTTTAGAATTGCATGATCCTTTAAAGTCACTAGTAAATATTTACCTGGATATATCTTTTCAGTTTTTGAATATGTTTTTGAAAAAGGAATCCTTTTTCTCCAGGCTGAACCATTATATGAGGTTGACATGTATTTGTCTGAGAGAGAGAAAAGAAACAAGATTGCTTTTAAATATCTCCAAACTTTCAAATCATACTCCAAAAGGTTTCAAAGTTGTAAGTACCTTAGTGAAGAATTTATTCTCTAAATATTTAATTAAGCTAAAGCTAAAACATCAGGAATACAAGTGAATTTATTATGACCATTTAAATTATCAGTGAACATGATTACAGATCTCTTAATTCCTCACATAAGGCTCTCTCTCTCTCTGTCTCTCTCATGAGGCTAAGCTAGAGAACAGAATGACAGCTATATAAAATAAAAATATTTCATGCCACTGTTTTACCATAATTTAATATAGAATTTTACTAATATTTGGAGAGATTTATTTTTAAAATACAGCAACATGTGACAACAACCGAGTTTCCTGCTATGAAATAACGTCTTGATCCCAGAGGTCACTCTGCAATAGTGAACTTCCTGCCCCAGGGAGCCAAAGCATTTATATACTGACACTGTCCTTAAAAACATACCTTCTCTAACATTTCTCTATTTCAGCTATTTGGTAACAATTTGCATTTTCAAGCATTATGACGTAACTGTGGTTCTCGAAGCATCACAATACAGACTATGTTGACATCTGCACTGATGGTACGCGAGTGACAGATATCCGTTGCTGGCACTTTCACACAAATCTGGACACTCGCACTCATTGTGTTCTTCACACCCATCTACTTCTAGTAAAAAGTAATCATCACAAAAATAATAATAGCAATAGTCGAACTAGAACTAAAAGCCAGTTTCACCTAAGAATATCTCTATTTACACGTACACAGGCAGTACATCACTTCATTCTAAAACAAAGAGAAAAATGATTTAAATAAACATAGCTTCCATTTAAATTGTCAAAAAAAAAAAAGAGAGCCTAAGAAAGACCTAGTTTCGAAGTACAGTATGACCATGGAAAGATACAAATGTGAAATTACAGAGAAGTCAGTGGCCCTTTGTTGAGAGAGAGGAAGTCCAACTTTAGGAGAGCAAAATCACCTGAGATAGGAATAAAAGAGAATTGGTTACCTTCTTCCCTGTGGCCTTATCCCTCCTCACCTACACTATGATTTCACCTATTACATGATGAAGAGATTTAGAAGCAATTTGTGCATGGGGGGAGCGATGAGAGGTTGTGGAAAATACCGCAGTTAAACCCCAAACTAACCCTTTCAGAAAGTAATCATCAAGACCTAAAGAAAGGTCAAGGTACCAGCTTGACAGTGATAATTGAACAACGCAGTTAGTGGAACCAGAAATGTCAGCCATTTAAAAACAATCCTCCCTGGCCAAATAAAGCTATCCAGGAAGAACAAAGCACAGTGCTCTGAGACCAGACTCTAGGGAGGAAGGGATGTCAAGTCATCTGCACCCAACTTGAGTTTCCTTCTGTATCCTTTAAGCCATGTGCATGACTAATTTATAAGAAGTTATGGTGCTTGGTGATGGCTCAGAGAAAGAACAAGGGAGATGGCAGCAATGAAGAGTAGCACATCCATCCAGAAACTCCACGCACACGCAGCACAGACCACAGCGAACTCATCACTGGAGAGCCTCACCTGGACAGACATTGATTTTGGGTTCCTTCTTAGCATCAGCTTTATTGTAGGACTCATTTGTGGGCCTGCTGCAGCGAGGGGCACTCAGCGGGACAGTCTTGACTGCGTCTCTTCGAACATGGATGTAGGATGCACTTTCAGCATTCTTGTTCTTATTATGCTGATGGTAATTCATTTTATTTTTTGGATTGGGAGATTGTACTCCTATAAAACAAAGGGTGGGAAGAGTGAGAGAACACACTGTCTTACATCAATAGCTAATGCGTTGTACTTCAAGGATACGATGGCACAGTGGAGTACAATGTACTGTAAAGGAAGTAAATTAGACTGAGAGAAATGGTTTTACGTTTAAAGTGATCTTCATGTTACATGACAGTGGTTTACTTTTCAGGTAGAAAATGTATGATAGTTGAGCCAGGCAGGGTGGTGCATGCCTGAAATCCCAGCATGCAGGAGGCTGGGGCAGGAGGACTGCTGCGAGCTCAAGGCCAGCCTGGGCTACATAGTGAGTTCCAGGTCAGACTCAACTACATAGTGAGTCCCTGACTCAAAAATCAAAACAAACAGAAAGAAAGAAAGAATGAACGAACGAAAGAAAGGAAGGAAGCGAAGGAGGAAGGTAGGAAGGAAGGAAGGAAGAGGAAAAAAGGAAATATGTGGTATTTAATCTCTTCATATTACAAGTCAGAAATAGCAAATATTTACCTCTCTGCATTCCAGAGCCAGGAAAGTTCTTTGGCTCATCATAAATCCATTTTCTTTTCTTCACACCTTTGAAATGAGGCCTCTTCACTGGCTGGACATCATTCACTTAGAGGAGATACAAATTTTACAGTTTTTAAGAGGTGTTTTCATCTAAAACTTACTGCAGCTGATAATGATATATCTGTATGCTTACATGTTAAGCAAGAAAAAAAATAAATGTACCATCCTAATACATTTCAGAACAAAAAATGATTCATTTTTAAGTGCCAAGATAATTTACTTTAAAAACACATTAATAAGAAAACTTCCAATGAGCTGCTTTTCTTAAAACAAAAAAAAAATGCTTCTCAAAGGAATCTGTGAATTCTAATAAAAGAACATAAAATTGCTTTCCAGATATAATTATACTTATCATTATAATACAGTTTAAGGTAATTTTATAATAACTATTTCAACATAAAATATTTTGTACTTTTAGCCAAAACTACTAGTACTTGATAAGGTAATTCACTAAAATACTTTGAATTTTAGTTATATTCTTATGGTTTTAATAAGTTGGATATATAATTAGTTTGGACAAGACTGAATAATCAGAATTTGTGAATGCTAACATAAATTCATAAATTTATCTTTTAGTTTTTACTTATATATTTTACAGCAAAATTTCTGTATTCATTCTTAATTTTCCAAGAATTCATAAGGTACATTTTCCCAGAGACTCTTAAACAATAGAGCATAAAGGGCACTCACAAGTAACTACTGCACGAAGAAAATGAAAATCAAGTGCACTGTGCAGACTGACTGGCTCTCCGTGTTGGGCTAATAAATCTGTTTTAGCCTTAGCTCTCAACCTCAGTTTAAGCTTTAAACCCTCAATGAAGCTCTGATTCACTGCCTCCTTGCTTACATAACAAACTCCATCTCCCCAACCAAGCTCCCAAGGAGTGGAAAAACAATTTTTTAACAAGCTTCTTGGCTGAAAAACATTCTGGTTCCACTTCAATACCTAGCTGAAAACCAAGAATACTGTAGCTCAATAAATGAAATAAGAAATAGAAAGGAGCTGAGCTGTGAAGGAATCCAGAAGATTCAAGAGTCTTAACTGCATTAAGATACAATAAATAGGTCAAAGTACTAAATGTCAAAACTCCAAGTCAATAAAAATAATCCAAAATATCATTATAAAAAGCCACAAATATATTCCACTATGAGTGAAATTTAAAATAGTATACTAGTGAATCTTCAAAGAAGGTAGCATATTATTAATTTTAATATCAAAATTAAATTAGTGGAGGGCCAGGGATTTAGCTCAGTGGTTCTGCCGCCTGCCTCGCAAGGTCAAGGTCCCGAGTTTCATCCCCGGTAACCCCCTAAAAAAATTAAATTAATGGATATAATTTATTAGATCCTACAGTACAATTCATTGTCAGAATTAGAAGAGTACTGTATCTTTAATTCTTAGTTCTGAACAATTTTCAAACAGTCCATTTTTTATTTCTTTAAAAATTATATTTTAAATAAACAAAATGTATCCATGACAAGATAGATATATTTAAGGCCTCAAAGTGGTAGTGCTAACATCTCACTTGAAGAGGTATCCTCTCTGGGCTTCATATTGATATTCTCAGTAGCATTTAATACATGTGTGGTAGGTACTAGTCAGGTAGTTAAAGAATGCTTTGGATGGGGACTGTCCTTGTTTTCTTTTAAAGCAAATTAAAATAAAATGTCAATATTAGTGAAGAAGTATTTCAGTTGGAATTTTACTTTTCACACATTACAAAATGTGGTACACCTCTTCATTATATATGCATATTAATTTTAGAATGCATCATTAAAATTTCCTATATGTCATGCTGTGCTTTATATATAAATCACTGAGGAAACTTTAAAATGCAATGACCAGGCATTATCCTCAATAGATAAATGACATCATATGTCAATATTTTTAATATTGTCATGCAAAAGAATTAAGTTATTAATGTTACATCGAGGGCCCATTTAAATTGATTTTCCAAAAATACTTTTAATGTAACAGCTTTCACTTGATGTAAACTTTGGAGTAGGACTATTCAATAAGCTTTTTGCAATATTGAAATCCAAATTCTAAATTTTGCAACAGTAAAGTTCTAAATCAGTGAAGTTCTAAATCAGTGCAGTCCAGTATGATAGCCACTAGCCACCTGCCACTATTAAATATGTGGCTTAGTGCAACTGATAAACTGAATTTCTTTTAATTAACTCAACACTGTCCTACAGATCTAGTGGCTGCAGTATTAGTACAGTTTTTTAAATAACATCCTTTGATGGATTGGGCAAAACTTTTGCATCTCTGAATGAGAAATGGACAGAAAGAGGTTTATATATAATTTTCAATGAAAAAACTTTTACTTTGATGACAAATGTCTTTTCCTACCCTTGCAGATATTTAGTGGTGAGAAAAAAAATGAAATGAGTTTACATTTTCTTGGAGAGACATTTGTGCTTTTAGCCTGGGACTGAGAAAGGTGACCAACAGAGAGGTACTAGCTTGGGATTCTAAGCACAGTGGGGCAATATAAAACTATAGAGGAAATATCTCATCATGTTTTGGTTATTCACAGACTATCAGTAGCAAGATCATAAAATGATGAAGTCATCACAAGATGAATAATCTTCATAGTATTCTCAATCAATGTTCTCTAAAGAAATTCAGTGGTTCTAAACTGGAAAAAGAAAACTGAAAATGACTTGGTATTACCATCTAAGAGAACCAATAACTTTAAAGCTAGCAATAGCTCTAGAAATAATGCATTCCAACAGGCTAACTTTTCAGATTAGGAAACTAAGGCTGAAAATGTGAAAATCCCATAGCTAAACAATTAGGGACAAAGCCAAGACAAGAAGCTTGAGGTTTCTGACTCCAATTTAATGTCCAGTTTGATTTATTTCCTTCCCTCTTATTTTGGCTTCTATAGCTAGAAAGTTCATCTATTACAAATTTATCTAAATTACAAATGAGTAAATATATGAATGAATTGTTACCTTTGGTATTTGGACATTTTGACATGTGGATCTCTTTCTCTTCAGTTAAACCGTCACTTTCATCTACTCCAAGAAATGAAATCCTTTGTGGAATGGGACAGTCACCTCCTACGACAAAACCATATCCTTCTTGTCAACTCTTGCTTAAATACTTCTCAATGACACAATCCCTATCTCTATATATAGAAATTCCTAGGCCAGTACATGTGTGTTAATATGTAAGGAGTGGGCCAGGGATGTAGCTCAGTAGTGCTGTGCCTGCTGGCAAACACAAGGTCCTGAGTTTGATCCCCAGTACTGGAAAAAAAATATATATGTAAATACACATATACGTGTATATGCATATGTATGTACATATATACATATACATGGTGATCAAAATATGTAGTGAATGTTTAAATTTTTAAAATTTTTTACAGTAAAGGATACAATGCCATTGCTCCCTCTCAAAATACTTCCCCTCTTTGAACACATTTAACCCAAGGTTCTTTCATGTCTTTGCAAGGTATGCTCAAAAATATAATGAATGTTGCTGCTGAGAACTATCCAAAAGGAAAGACGGAATCACAAAAACATATTGTGTCCTTGTCCCCCTTATTCACTCGATCTGGTACTGTACAACTTCTACTTCTTCACCCAAGTCAAAATGACTATGAAAGTGTGATGTTTTGAGTTGAATCAGGGAGGCCAGGAAAATTGCAGCAAAAGATATTCACAAGAAAGGATTTCCAGTGCTGTTTCAGAAAGTGGCAAAAACAATGGGGTAAGTATGTTTGAAACAAAGGGGAGTATTTTGATGGAGGTTAGTAGTAATACATTTTTCCTATAATAAAATTTTTAGAATTTAAATATTCACTGTATTTTCAATGCTACTACACATTTGAATACACTTTATGCTTACTTTACAAAATTTAAGAAAATTCATATATTCAACACAAATAACTTTACATTAACTTCTAACAAACTTTTCAGTTTTACCTTTAGAGATCCTCAGAGTAAATATAATTTATTTTCCAAATAAAAATTTCAGATCTATGAAAGCAGTTTTCATGTTCCTTAAAGGTCTATTTTTATCAGACTAAATGTCCACAGTTGCTTCAAATACTACTTATGCACAGCATTTCCAGACCTTCCATTTATACCAAGATGCCCTTTCTTAATATATTTGTTTCAAATAGTCTTTAAAAAATAACGCCCAAATGTACACTAACCTGTGGAGAAATCAAAACTAACATGAGAAGTTGACATTTAGGTAGCATTTTTCTATGTGCCAAATCCTCCACCAAGGACTTTAAATGACTTCTCATGCTTCATTACCTTCTTATACTACCCCTAATAATTCAGTGTGCACTAACCTTACCTATTTGATAGTGAAAACTATTACTTAATTGTTCTGAAACAAAATGGCCAAAAAAGCACTCCTCCTTCTCATAAACTGTAGATCATGTCAGATTCTCTCAATTTGAAGACATCATTAATGTCTTGAACAGAAAGGTAAGACTTCGTGTTTATCACTGTTTGCTCACCTTGTTCCATGTGGCTCATTGTTTCAACATATTAACTTCTAGTATCTAGAAGTTTTACCAACATATTTTTGTTCACCCAGTTCCTCGATATATTTAAACACACAATTATTTATTCTACAAGTATTTACTGAATGCCCATCATGTACCAGCCCTTCTGCTTCAGAGATTAATCTATAGGAATTAATTATACTCATTTTCTGGCTCATGAAGCTTACACAACAGCAACTGGAAAAAATTCAAAAAGACTCAGTTTTGCTGTGACAAAATGGCTCGTTTCCTGTGAAAAACGAGAATAAAATACCTAAAATAAACTGGTCGGAAATCAAATAATGCACAGGGCTGTGGTGTCTGAGGACAGTGGAGGCACATTCACATTCAGTCTGGCTTTTTTCCATTACTGAGTTAGGTTCCACACTCAACACAGCTTTTCCATAAAAGCATTTCTAATACGTCATGCAGAGAAATATATCCCAACCAGAAAGTGACCAACCAAAGAGACAGAAAAGAAAAAAAGGGGCAATGTTTGGGCCTGTATAACTGGCTTGAACCAGAGGGGTAAATCTGAAAGAAGAAGAAATAGCAAACAAGTTCCCCTAAACATACATAAGTACCAAGGGGCTTCCTGATTCTGTCTATTACAATGTGGAGCAGGTGGAAATCAGTTAAAAGAGAATCTAGGCTGTAAAAAACTGGTCAGAGATTTCATCACCTGGATACTGGTTAGAAGGTAAAATGGAGAATTTTAGGTTCCCCCTGGTAAAAATATCTTGGTGAATACCCAGGCTTTCAATTGAAAACTCAGAAAGGTAATATTTTAGGAGTAAAGGGCCTGTATTCAGAATAAGGGCTATACCTCAAGAGAAAGGACAAGTAATGCACCATCTACTATGTCATTCCTGCTAAAGCCTAAAACCAATCCTTGACTAAATCAAGGTACTGAAATTCTAGTCGCCTACAAAAAGAAGAGATGAGAAAACAACTTCATGTGTGCACTATTTAACTCTTCAAGTATATAATTAAAAATTAGAAGGCATGCTTAGAAATAGAACAATTGATTTAAAAACAGTGGAAATGAAAAAGACCCATGTATTTTTAAGTAGGAAGTTAGAAAAATAACATGAGTAATACAATAAAGGACTGATACAGAGATACACAAAAAAGCTTAATAGAAATTAAGAATTTAATACATGTAGTTAAAGGCAGAAACCAAAAGGATTAGTCAGCAGGATAGCAGATTGGAAGAATCCGGAAGAGAGAGATAATTTTAAGTGCACTCAAGACATTAAAAACACAATTTAAGAAAAGAGGAAGTCAAAGTGGCCAAAATGCTAATGAAAATATTTTCAGCATTATTATCATGGAAATACAAATTAAAGTTACAGTGAGATACCACAAGCTACAGACTAGAAAGCCTATAATTAAAAGGACTGAAAATACAAAGTATTGTCAAGCATACAAAGCAAGCTTTTTCCCAAGAAAATAAACGCATATATTTTTAGGAAATATGTACAAAAATACTCATAATATCTGCAAACTAGAAACAATGTCCATCAAAGCCCAAAATCAAAACCCAGGATGATTTCTTGGCTTTTCATAAACATAGGAAGCATGATGAAAAGCTTAAAGTGCAGGACCCACATATTACTCGCTGAGAACCAGCAAGGCAATGGACTCAGCATTCTTGCTCCCGTTTTCACACCGAGATGACCGGCGTACGAAGAGTGGGGCGGCGGGGCACAGGGCAAGAATTCCAGCTCTGGAGCAGCTGCAGAGGCGTTGACTTTCAGCTGTTAGTGCAGCAGTGTCAGAGGAGGCGTTTAATGTTTCTGAACCTTGTTTCCCCTTTCATAAAATAAGATAGATTCCACCAGAATGAGGAATTCCTATGATTTCAGATTTTAGTTTACTTGAGGAGATGTATATGTATGGGGTGTGTGTGTGTGTGTGTGTGTGTGTGTGTGTGTGTGTGTGTGTGTGTGTGTGTGTGTGTGTGTGTGTGTGTGTGTACAAATTTGCCTTAGGAACAATGGTTAGATATTTGCTACTTTAGCATTCAATATATTTTATAGAAGATAACTACTGGGAATAAGAATCAACTCTCTCTATGTGTATATAATATTATATATTATATTTCTTAGGTATAGGTTTTGTATATACAAACTATATACACACAAATATGTACCTGTAAATTGCACAGAACATATGCCTGCAAAAAATAAATTACGCAACAGTGTCGAAGAGCTGCTGTGACAATCAACTGTATGATCAATTACATCTAAGTAGTCTTAAATAAAGTTATCCAAACTTGAAGAGCCAAACTGCATATTTTCACTATATAAAGGTCAAAATACAAAATGAGCCTATGGTGATAGATATCAGAGCAGTGATTATTACTGAGGGGCTCTACAGACTTGGAGAGGAGGGCCCCTCTTCAGTGCCATAAATATAGTGATACACACAGACGTAAAATTTTATCAGGCTATCTACTTTGGAGTTGTATTTTATTAAATTAAAAACTCAATACAGTATTAAAATAATAGGACTAGAATGTCTCAATTGTTTTCCTCCTGAATACTGGCCCATTTATTGTTGTTTTATTTTTCTCTCAGCAATGTTTTATCAATTCAAAAGTCTAAATACATGCATGTTGCACACATACTCAGGACATTTTTCTGTCTGGGGACACAGAACATTACAGTCCCTGAAGAATCAACAAACCTGACTACTTTAGAATCAAGTAGCCCAGATGACGGAAAGTCTTAACATTCTGTTATATGGCTGTTCAATATTACTGTCACAATATTATCAGGATAGTGAAACTGCAAGGCCAATCTCACATTTTTTTACGTCTCAACAAATTAGTGATGTCATGACATGAGAGAAAGTTTATTTTTTATATGAAAGCATGAATATATCAGTGGTTGACAATAAATTTTCAGCAGCCAATACATCAATAATATTTCAACAAAATGTGTAATTACAGACGATCACGTCAAGTGGATCACAGCTTTGTTCTCTTTGTTTAGAGCTAAAGCGTCTTGCTTTGAGGCACCCGAAGAATGAGGGCTAGTCTAAAACTGCTACAGACATAAGGAGAGGAAAGACTTTAGCACCAGGCGGAAAAAAAAGGCAATGAGAAGAAAATGGATAAAAAGAATGAAACAAGGACTGCAGAAGCCTTAGCAATGTGCTTCAGACTTCCTGGTCCTCGCCAGAACTTGCTTTCAAACTCCTTCCGGCTTCGCACACACATTCTTCCCGCCAGCTACACCTTTTCTCTCCTCACAAAAGTCTTTATCTATTTTTTAAAAACAAACACTTAGAATTACTGTACGTGGACAGATTATCCACAATACTTGTGCTACAAGCAGTTTTAATACATTTAGGCCACAATACACAATCAGAATGTGTACAAATGATACATATATTTGAATATAGCGGCTTTAACATAGACTTATTCAAAGAATTCATTAAATATTTCCCTGTTCATAGCTCTATGACAGTGCATTAGTGCACATACTTAATATGTGAATTCACTATAACCTGTAGTTGAGCCCACGCACACACACACACACACACACACACACACATACACACACTCAAATTTCTTATACAAATACAGGAAACTAAATACCTTGACCTTGTACACTAAGCACAAATTCCCACAAAGCATTTGCTAAAAATACCAGCCTCTGAATGTATATGATTTTGAAATGCATGTCCATCCCCTAGCATTACATATGAAAGACACAAAAATTGATAATACAAAAATTAGTTGTGGTGATAATGTGTTCACGATCACCCAGTCATAGATTAACTCACCTCCATTTTCAAAAGCAGCAATGTCAGTCTTTGGTTTCCCATCCAACGATATTTTCGTCTCGCCTTGTCTTTCAGATAGGCTTAATTTTGTTGGAATTGTAAATCCATCCCCTGGAAATGCAGAGGAAAAGAATTAAAAAGTCACTCTGATAACCATTAAAGTCTTGAATAAGTTTATGATAAAATTCATAACAAAAGCAACCAGCTTAAAAGTTAACATAAATATTGTTTGCATAGCATCTGATAATATATAAACACATTAATTTTAAGCAAGTTTTATCATTAACAAAGCAAACAAGTGTGTTATCTTGTTTCGATTATAATCAAATGATAACTTGAAAAATTAAGTAATCTAAAACTATTTGTACACGTAATATACTTAGTTTGATGTTTTAGTGTCATGAATTTTGCAGCATTGCTTTATTTTTATCTATTTATTATGAACGATCAAGTGAGAAATATTAGTCAGTATGAGCTACAAAATTCTAATTATATTACAGTAATTATTCTCCCAGTTTTCCTTGTACATCTCTACATAACTTTTTGTAAAATAAATTGTCAAAAGCAGAAACAAAAACACATGTCGAGCTAATGTAATTTGTAGTAGTGGATTGGAGCTACACAAGGAAAAAAACTTTTTTTTCTTTTTTGCTATAGAGGACATTAATGGCACAATTGGTGAACCATGAGGGAGGAGCTGTAAATAATAATTTTATCAGAGCAATTTCCTAATTTTGAAATTTATGCTACAGAAATGTGAACGCAAAGGAGCACGATGTTTGTAACTTACTGTCACACTCTCACATAGTTCAGAAAATAACAATAGCAGCATGCAAATTTAAAGAGAGCAAAAATTCAAATAATGAAATGCCAACGTTTGGGAGAGACCTAAGAGAAGGGCGAAAGGAATTAACTGAAACTACAAATAAGAGGCTTTTAAAAGCAAAAGACAAAGCAAAATATAAATGACTGGCTTTGTAAGCTTTTTTTTTTTAACATTCATTGCTAACTTTTGTTTATTCTTGTCTGAGTGGTATGAGCTCGCAATCTGTCCTTTCTTTGAGTTTAGCAAGCACCAAAAATCTGACTGTTCTAACCTTCTGATGGTCTGTTGCTGCCACCTACTGCTGCAAATTCAAATAATTTAGCACATTAAAATCTTATGCATTTTTGCGGATTACACCAGGGAAACTATTCGGTATTTGAAAAGGGAAAAGAAAAAAATGTGAGAGAATGAAAAGTTGATAATAAAGTGTTTGTAGATGGGGAGGGGAGGAGGGGGTGAAGGGAGGGCAGAGGTAAGGGGAAAAAATGAGAATCAAGACTTGGCATGTAGAGGTACAAGATCCCAACAATGAATGTAACTGCACTGTATCACTAAAATGTACCAATAAACTCAATTAAAGCTGAAAAAAAATCAAATAATTTAGCACAAAAGAATTAGCAAGACGGTTTAGATACTCTGTTCTGTACTTTATATTTTGTCCTGTACTCATACTGATCCTCAGACTTCCCCAGCAGTCTCTCCCTCCCCCTCCCCCTTCTCGTCCTCCTCCCCTCCCTTGCCTCTCCCTCCCCTTTTTTCCTTGCTCCTCCTCCCCCTCCCTCCCTTGCCCCTCCCACTCTCACTCCCTTCCCACATCTTCAGAGAAGCAAGGAGGGTTGCATTTCTCCTCCAGAACTCCAAAAATATGTTTTTAAACTTATTTCAAGAGCAAGAAAATTATACAAACAAATGGCACTCACAGATTTTTTGTGTTCCTGGTTTTAATACAGAATACGATGCTCTTTTTATCTTGCCTAGAAGGTAAAATGTTCACCAAAATCATCAAAACCCAAGGCAGCAAAGAAAATGCTCCTTGAAAGAGAGACCTTGGGAGTTCGATCCCCAGTACCAAAAAAAAAAAAAAAAAAAAAAAAAAAAAGAGAGAGAGAGAGAGAGACCTTGGATTTGTCCACCAGCATTTCTCTGAAAATGCCCGGCACACAGAACACACTCACTTGTTCAATCAGCAAATACACCTTTGTTCTGTCACTATTATTCTGTGATCTCCTGTTTCTCCTTTTTGGGCTAGATTATCTTTTCTGTTTAGAAATAAAAATCTCAACCTATTTCATGTAAGCATCTGTTTCATAAATAAATAAAATGGTAAAAGCAAATTATGTACAGAATTATTGGCTGGGATGGGGTATATGAACACTGTGTGTTCGTGAAGTCTGGTCATTCCCTGGCTTCCCTAAAAACACATCGTTACTTTAACAGCAGATTTTCATATGAAATTTAAAGCACTTCCTTCTTTCTTTTAAATCAAATGTATTATTTATTCTTTAACACTGCTCTAGAGGGTACATTGTACTAAATAATTCACAGCATATCACACCAAATATCTTTTATACACCACTCTAAATATTGCCTTTTCATTTCTTACCTTCTTGCAATTCACTGCCATTTTCCAAAGGCTTTTCTAGCTCTTTCTCCACTGCAGGGGCTGTGCTTTTTGATGAAATATCTGCAGGAGTATGAAATCTGTAGTACTCGCCTAAACGTCCATAAGGAAAGAATGGTTAGTGTATATATCACATCAAGTATCTGAAGATTTGCAAATGTTTAAGTTCTTACCAGATTTATAGCACATCTCCTTTATTACTCTTTTTTCTTCAATCTCTTCAGGAGTCTTTGTCCACAAACTAGAAGCATCTATAGGACATATTGTTTTTAAATTAAATTGTCCCAAATCCAAATAATCTGAAAATTTGTAAATCAGAAAGAAAAAAAGTCCCAAAGAGAGTTTTTATGAATAGATTATTCTTTTTAAATTTTTAAAATTAAGACATTTACAAACTGTCAAATGCTTCTTTTTAATTGCTACAATTTCAAGTATTAATCAATTAAGAAACAAGTCTGTATGTTATGTCTTGAAGTGAAAATCTAGAGGCATAGGCTCACAGACTGAGGTAGCACAGGATCCCCTGGGATAATGAGGACGACCACGTATTGGATATGAGAAATTACTCTAAACCCTTTGTAACTCTATGGTTAAATATGACAAATACATGATTAATAGAAGTGCAAATAGACAGATAAATATACATGGATATCAGTGCATTTTATGACAGTTGTGAAATATAAATTAAGAGAGCTTGTACTTATTTAAACTAGAGATCTGTCTCCCAACTATCATACAAATTTAACTTTCCAATCCAAATGATCATAAGCATATGTAGACATGAAACAAATTAGAAATTAATGAATTACACTTGTTCAATTTCCCATGAAAATATGTCCTATGTATTACATCACAAAACTCTAACATTTAAATATGTAGAGAATATTGTGAGGTCTTTTAAGGTGTTTAGTAATCTCAGAAAATGTTTACTAACCGTTTTGTTCCTCTTCTTCCTCCTCTTCTTCCTCAAAGTTAGTTTTTAAAACTAAAGGATGGTGAATGGGTCGTGATATAGTCTCCTGAGGCTTCAAAGGTTCCTGACTCTGAGTTGGGGATGGAATTCCTTCCTGACTGTCTTTCTGTATTGTGATATCTAAAGTAAAAACACAACATTTCGGTGTACTCAAAACATATATTCTGGCGAGCATATTTAATGATAAATCATTGCTATCCTAATTTAACCACGTTTTGTTAAAATGTGTCTCGTTTTTGTAAAGATTATTTAATCAACTTATAATAAATATCAAAATGTTATCTGCAATTCATGGAAAACATCCACTTCGTAGACATTACACAACAATTGTAATCATAGCTTAGTACACCACACATTTGGGATGCTGGTGGTCCATGACTTGTGATAGTTTGACTTTACAGTGATATGAAGGAAATGCAGTGGTACCTTGGTTCACAAATGCTTTTGTTTGTAAACAATTTGGTTCAAAAACAAAAACATTTGGCAATTTTTTTTTATTTGCAAACTCTCTATCACATGACAAACAGGACACAGTAATCCTTCCCACACAAACACAAACATGGCCATCTTTTCTAGAATCATGGAACAAATTAAATTCATGCACCAAAGTAGCACTGTATAAGCATTCAGTAGAAACTGTACTTCAAATTTTGATCTTGACCCAGGTCAAGGATGCAGATACTCTCAATCAATGGTGGCAGAGGCTATGGGCCTTGGCTCTCAATCAACTCCATGATCAAAAGTATAAACAGGCAGTACTTTGTAGTGTACTGTTTGGCAAAGCTATGATGTTCAGTATATTAGGTGTAATAAATGCATTTTCAATTTATGATACTGAAGAAGGAGGACATGAGCCAAGAAGCACAGATGGTTTCAAGAAACTAGAAGACAGGTCTCCAGAAGGGATGAAGTTCTATGGCCATCTTAATTCTAATCAAACGACCTCTGTGTCAAACTTGTAACCCGTCAAAAAACAGGATAAGCAAGATATCAGTTGAGGCCATTTGCTTTCTGATAATTTGTTACAGAAATAGAAAACTATCACAAGGGATATTAGAAAAAGTGCCACTGGGCTCCCTGTTGAAATGATCAGAATTCAAACCAATGGTAGAGTGCAGTAGGTTTGTTGAAAATTTTTCTTCTTCCATCTTGTTATTCACAAGGAAAGGTCTCATAGCAACAATGAAAGAGAATACTAGTAAGAAATTTAAGAAAAAATAACTTTAAACATAGAGCATTTAGTCTCAATATATTCCCAAGATTTCTAACTAGCTGCAATGAAAACTTGTTACTGAAAATTCAAAAGTAGAATCATAGAGTTTTATTGAAATATAATTCACACAGAATATAAGTCATCATTTAAGGTCCATAGTTCAATTAATTTTTGCAATAGTTTACTAAAGAGTTGTACAACCATAACTATGATCAATTTCAAATCATTTAATCAACCAAAAAACAAACACACTAATTAGTAATTGTTTATCATTTTCCTCTAAACTCCCAACTCTATGGTCATTAAAACATTTCTTATTTCTATAGATTTACCTATTTTTGATATCTTATAGAAACGGAATCACTCAATATGTGATCTGTGTTAATGACTTCTTCCACTTAGTATCTTCTCAAGATGTTTCTATGCCATTGTGTATAATGGTACTTCATTGTTTTTTCATAGACAAATAGCATTCCATTGTATGAATATACCATATTTCATTTACCCATTTGTCAAAGCATGGGCATTTGAGTTGGTTCTATTTTTTGTCTATGATAAATAATGTTAAGGTAAACATTTTTATACATCTACACATATATTTTCACAACTCTTGGAACAGCTGGACTAGATGATGACTCTATAACATTTTGAGGAAATGCCAGTTCCAAAACTACCTGCACCGTTTTACATTCCTATCTGCAATATATAAAAATTCCTATTTCTTCACATTTTTGTCAACTTTGTCATTACTTTTTAATCAGGAAAAATTAAGTATCCTGGTGGGTATGAAGTGATATAACATTTGGTTTTGATCTATATCTCCCCAATAGTTAAGAATGACCATCAATTTTCCCATGTGTGTATTGGTCTTGATACATCTTCTTAGAAAGAATATTCAAATTACTTGATCATTTTTTAAAAGAGTTGTCTCTATATTATTGAGTTCTTTATATACTCTAGATACAAGTTCATCATATAATTTGAAAATATTTTCTCCTACTCTGTGGGTTGTCTTTTCACTTTCTTTGTAGTATTCTTTGAAAAAAAAAGTTTCTAATTTTGAAGTCCATGAACTTTATATTTAGTCGCTTGTGTGTGTGTGAGTGTGTGTGTGTGTGTGCGTGTGTGATATGTAAGAAAGCTTGTTGTCTTTTCACTTTCTTTGTAGTATTCTTTGAAAAAAAAAGTTTCTAATTTTGAAGTCCATGAACTTTATATTTAGTCGCTTGTGTGTGTGTGAGTGTGTGGTGTGTGTGCGTGTGTGATATGTGTAAGAAAGCTTTGTATAACCTAAGGTTTCTTCTGAGAGTGTTATAGTTTTAGTTATTACATTCCATTTTTTGATACATATTCAGTCAATTTTTGTATATGATAATGTGAAGAAAAAGATTTTTTCAAGATGAGGCTCACCCTTTTAAAGTAGAGCTGCTTCTGTCACACTAAACTAAGACACGGTGAAGGGAAGGATGGTGGTCCAAATACCACAGACTTACTGTTCTGCGATTTGGGAGACTTTTTCTTAATGTTACTTCATTTATTGTACACTCATGAGACAATGTCCAGACATCTAATTCTTTTAATATGCAATTTTTACCATCTGTGGTCATCTGATTGCATTGGGTTTATGCAGCTCTTAATATCATTCTGAAAGTTGTCCCTTAATTGCAATTTTTAAAATGCAAACAGAATTATTTATAGGTTTCTCAAATTATCTATCATATCTTGAAACAAATGACTAAAATTTTAAAATAATTTTCTTCCAGTTGCATGTTGTTCCATGAGATACTAAAACCTCTATTACTAGATAATATCACAAAATATTCCAATTAAAAGCCTCCACCTTTTTTCAGATTATAAAATGTTTACGACAGTCTAACTCTGGTAGCAAATATTAGAATAACATACAGCTTTTAGATTGCCTTAGCCCACTTGTTCTTCCATAGCAAAACAATTGGGTGATTTATAATCAACAGAAACTTATTTCTGTCAATTCCAAGACCAAGGGGCTTGCTGTCTGCTTGGGGCTCTCTGCTTCCACAGTGGTGCCTACTTACGGTGTCCTTGGATGGGACAAATTCTGTGTCTTCACATGGCAGAAGATGGCGGACGCAAAGATCACAAAGGGCCAAAGCCTTTTTTATAAGTGCTGTAATCCCATTGCGGAAGGAGAAGCCCTCCTGATCTATTCACCTGCTAAAGCTCCTACCTGTTGCTACTACTGCTTTGGACACTGAACACTCCTCAACATGAATTTTAGAGAAAGGCAAACATTCAAACCTTAGCACTCTGCCCTGGAATCCCCAAATTAATCTTCTTCTCTTATATTAATTATGTTCTTTCCATTCTCGTAACTCCCAAAGCTTTAACTTATTCCAGCATCAACTCAAAAGTGTAAAGTCCAGAGTCTCATTTAAAAAACATGTAAATCAAACATCTCTCTCCACCTGTAAGCCTGTGAGACTGAACAGATTATGTGCTTGCAAAATACAGCAGTGGACAGGCATAGAATGGATATTACCATTTTCAAAGGGAGAAACAAGAACAAGAAAATAGTAATAAGTTCCAAGTATATCCAAAACCCAACAAGACAAAAAACCTTAAATATTATGGATTAAGAATAATATTGTGCTTTCTGTACACCCTGGAGGAGGGGAGAAATTGTGTTCCCAAGGCTTCGGGTGGATCCTACCCCCGTAAACACAACCCAGGCGGCAGCTGTCACAAACTGGAGCTGCACATTGGAGGCTCTGTGGTTCTGTGGTCTTGGGGTGGCCCCTCGTTCACAGCTCCAATGGCATTACCCTTTGGGGCTCCCAGTGGTGGTCCTGCTCACATGGCTGCACCCAGCACTGCCCTAGTAAGAGCTTTCTTTAGGGACCCAGCTCACAGACAGGGCGCTGAGCCTCCCGCTGCAGCATCCTTTGAAACTTCGGTGGATTAACCCTGCCTCCATAGCTTACACTACGTACTCTGTGTACCTACAGAGTTGTCACCCTACAGTCACCACCAAGGCTGATGGCCGACACCTTCCAGAAAGGTGGCTGATCTCAGCCTGGTCTCTCCGAAGCACAGCAGGGGTCACTGAGGAGCGGCACACTCAAATTCAGGGCAGCAGATGCTGAGTTCCCACGAGTATTCAAAAGCCTTCTTTCAACAAAGTTCTGTCCTCCAGGCCTTGGCGTTCTGGGCCTTTGAAGGGAGTGGCGATACGGGTGATCTGCAAAATACCTCCCATTCTTCTATGGGCCATTCTTTCACGTCTCAATAAATAGCATCTGCTTCCTTCTACCTATGCTAAGATTATCGAATGATAGCTTCCCAGTACCCTTAGTACTCTGTCCTTAATCCAGTTACAACTTTGCCAGGTTAAGAACCTTCCAAATCTTTATGTTTAGCTTCCTCCTAAATTACAAATTCATCTCTCTGTCTCTTCTCACATTTTTCTTAGTCAAGGGAAATAGCACCGGTCAGCACTTTGCTTAGATGTTTCTTCTGCCAAATATCCCACTTCATCACTTCTCTTTTCTACCTTCATTCTCGTTGTACTGTCATGAAATGTTCATTTTAAATGGTCAGTATTTGTAAAATGTTGGAAATTATGTTTTTGCAACTGTTTAAACTTATGAAAATTGTAACCAGGGCCAGGGATTTAGCTCAGTGTTTCCACCACCTGCCTCACAAGTGCAACAACCCAAGTTTGATCCCTGGTACAAAAAAAAAAAAAAAGAAAAGAAATGAAATGAAAATTTTAACCAAAAAAATTTAGGGGAATAGTTCATCAAAAATAAAGAGCTGTTCTTGTTATATTTTTCCATTCATTACACATTTCCATTTGGTATATTAAATATATATCAGAAGATGATAAGACAAGACAGGAAAGAGCATATTTAGTGAACAGAAACTACCC